CCGACAGGCTCACGGTGGAAATCGGCATTTAAAATAATGTTTACAATTTCTGCGAGATTTCCTCCGGCTCGTTCTAGTAGAGAAATTAGTGAGTATTTGAAGTAAAGCTCTTGAGAGTAATTGGCGAAGCGCACGGTTCTACAGCCGCCGGTGCAGAGTACTGATATGAGCGTTGCTGTCCGTGTCGGGCGCTAGCGCCGCACTTTCTCCTTTCAATTTTTAAGCTGTACTAAGGTACACGTAACATAAAATTGCCGTCTTAACCATTTTTAGGCGTACAGTTTAGCGGTATTAAGTACATTCATGTTTTTGTGAGTCCATCACCACCGTCCGTCTCCAGGAATTTTCCATTTTTCACTGACCCCATTAAACAAGAACTCACCATTCCCTGCGGCCTCCGGCCCATAAACTTCTACTTTCTGCCTCTGAGTTTGACTCTGCTAGGAGTTCGTGGACGCGGAGTCATACAGGATTTGTTTTCTTGTAACTCACTTGTTTCACTTAGTTCAATGTTTTGAAGTTCCTACATGTTGAAGCGTATGTCGGAATTTCCATCCTGAAAAAGGAAAATATTAAAATAAGAGTTTAGAAGGCTAAATGTTCCACTGTACGTATTGTAAATACCATATTTTGCTTATCACTCATCTGTCAGTGGAGTTGGGTTTCTTTTGCATTTTAGTTGTGAATAATGCTGTGAATGTGGGTGAACAGGTGTCTCTTTGAGACCCCACTTTCAACTCTTAGGTGTATACCCAGAAGTGGAATTGCTGGATCACATGGCAGGTCTACTTCTGTTTTAACTGTTTCGAGGAGCCACCATATTGTTTATTGTTATGTTTTTTTTAACAGGTTAAAATGTTATCTTGTTTCGTAATCTGTCTTTTTTGTTGGTGGTGAAGTTCAGTATTTTGCTTTTGTTTGTTACATACATGATTGATGCCTATTATATGCAGATTCTGTGTTTGTGAATTTTCCTGTTTTCTAAAACTTACTTGTAACCAGAATCGGTACTCGTGTTACTTGCTGACATGAGCAGAATGGCAAAGAATTGGACTTGGCGGCAGCAGTGTGTTCCCAGCTGAGGGCAAGCGGGTGACACTGCCTGATAATTCTGGCTCTCATCTGGTGAACGAGTGTCCTTGTCATTGTCTGCGTCCTGCCACATTCTTCACAGTTGCTTCTTTTTGTTGGTGATTTCACCTGTCCACGTGGTCCCCACATGCAGTGCTGAAGTGTTCCTGCTGCAGGGGGCCGTGATGTGCCCTGCAGAGAAAATGTGTGTGAAGGAAGCTTCTTTTAGACATGAGTTATGTGTTGTGGGCCGAGATTTCAGTGTTAATGGATCAATAATGTATAAGAAATAAGGTGTTATTTTATATACAAGGTTATATGTTGATTCTTTGACAAATATGTTGTGACCAGAGGCTCCTACGAATCTCATCTCCTATTTCCCCTGAGAGGAGTGGCTCGTTATTCGCTAATTCAGGCTAATTCAGTGTTCACAGCGACATTACAAGACAAGACTACTACAACAATGAGACTGGGCTGTACCTGTAATCGTCGCTGTTACCTGTTAGAGCGAAGACTCTGACCCTCAGTGCTTAGCACAGGGCCTGACGTAGTCAAAGTTCTCAGTAAATACTTGATAAGATGAATGGATGTTTACTTACTGGTTTGTATTCTTTTGTGAATTTATGTTCATTTACTTTGACCTGGTACTGATTCAGTGTTAACATCTTTCATGTTAATTTGTAGGCATTCTTTGTATAAGATGTCTGTGTTTTCTTACAGGTCTGGGATAAAAGTGAAAGTGGGGACTGGCATTGCACGGCGAGCTGGAAGGTTAGTGTTTGTTTTTACACTGACGCTTACTATTGGGTAACATCAGTGACTCGCTGTTCACCTTGGAGAGAATTATAACACACTTCTTTTCCTTACATTGTTAATCACTGTTCAAGTAACAAGTGCACTTCAGGAAATTTGAGAGCACGTAAAGTTAAAATTCCATAGCATCTGACATAATTATTTTTAGCATTTCAGTATTTCTTATGTTTTCTTTACATATTTTTAATAGTTGTGGTGCTCTGCATGGTTTTCTCCCTTCCTTTCTTTGATAGCTTTACTCAGATAGGTTTTTACATATCTTGAGAGTCATCGGTTTTAAATGTACAATTCAGTGAGTTTCAGTAAACTTACACTGTTGTGCAATCATAACCACTGTCTAGTTTTAGAAGACTTCCATCAACCCTAAAATTTCCCTTTTGCCTGTTTGGGGTTAATTCCTATTCCCCTCTCAAGCCCCAGGCCACCACTGAGCTGTCCTCTGTCTGTATAGCTTTACCTTTTCTGAATGTTTTCTGTGAGTGCAGTTCTTCGATGTGTGGTTCTGTTTCTGATTACTTCTCTTAGCATGTTTTCGAGGTTTGTCCGTGTTGTGGCATGTGTCAGTAGTTCGATCCCTTGTAATGCTGAGTCTATTCCCTTACATAGATAAAGCCACATTTTATTTATTTGTTCACTGTTTGATAGACATTTGAATGTTTTTTATTTCTGGCAATTATGAAGAATGTTGTTGAGAACGTGCCATACAAGTCTTTGTGGGGATACACGTTTTCATGTCTCCTAGACACTAGGAGTTGAGTCGCTGGGCTATGTGTGTTTTAACTTTCTAAAGAAGTGCCTGTACCATTTGATATTCCCGTCAGCAGTGTGTGGGGGTCCTAGTTTCTCTACACCCTCCGCTACTCTGATATTATCTGTCTCTGATTATGGCCATCTCAGTGGGTGTGAAGGGGTGTCACTGGGTTTTGATTTGTGTGCTCGTGGTGACTAATGGTGCTGACAGCGTATTCATGCTCTTATTTGCCGTTCACATGGCTTCTTTGGTGAAGTGTCTCATCAAATCTTTTGCCCTCTCTACCCCTTTTTAATTGAGATAAGAATAATGTAGCATAAAATTAATCATTTCAAAGTAAACAATCCAGTGGCATTGATTAAATTCACGATTTAAATGAATACGGTTACCACCTCTCTCTAGTTCCAAAACTTTCATCACTCCAAAAGAAGAGCTGTATTTTTTTTTTCAGTTTAACAACATATTCCTTAAGTACTTTGGTATATTTTTAAACATAGATACAGCAATAAAACATAAACGTAACAACAGTACACCCTGTTGTGCTCAGCTGATGGATATTTAAGTTGTTTCCTTTTTATTGTGATGAACACCTCTGTGCACCCCTCATTCTTTAGTTAGATTGTGCCTTACCGGGAATCTGACATTTACCAAAATCTCACTGCCCTAGTGTGTTTTCACTTAATAACCTGTATCAATAAGAAAGGTGAAACCAAAAAGCCTGGACAAAACGAAGGATAAAAGCATAAGGATACGGAGTTTACCTTTGGATGATAACATTGTTGCCACTAGAAATGACTGGATTATGACAGTGTTCTGAGATTGAGTATAAAGGTGTTGGATATACAGAAGTGTGAAACAGCTTTTGTAAACGTAACTGGTGGACTGATGTTGTCATACGGTATTTTTATTGGAATGCACAGATTAAATTCTGTTGACGTGAGATGCTGTAAGACCTTTCTGCCTCTTTGTTTTGTCAACATAAATAGTTGACTAGTGATGATTTGATGTAACTTGACTTTTTTGCATATAAAGATGATGCTATGAGCTTTAAATTATTTCCTCAGAATACAAGGATTTGGACTTCTGTATTTGTTCATGCATTGTGTCTTCCTAGAGTACTCTGTTGTCTAGCCAGATGTCAGAATCATTTTTAAGTATTTTGTTGCTGCTGTTTCTATACAAAAATCAGGTTTTTGAAGCATATCATTTTGGTAAATCTTTTTTATTTTATTAGGTGTATGTTTCCTGTAGAGAGAATTTGCAAGTAAAAAAAATTGTGGAGAGATAGAATCTCTGTTTAAAAGCTTCGTTAGGCTAAACTCTGAAGTAATTGACAGCTAGCACTGAAAGAGGTCAACTTTATCAGGCTGAGGTTTTCGTTATTAGTAAAATCTTAGAAAAACTTGACTCCAGAAGGGCTGCAATAATCCTAAATATAGAATATCTTCTAAAGGTTTAAAGTTGTAGAATTTAGCTTTTTAAATGTCAAAGTAAATAGCTTTCTCCTCTTGTTGAAGTAAAAATACCTGTGTTCTGTTTCTTCAAGTGAAATCTTGTATGTGTGAAATATGAATAAACTCATTGTTTTTTGTTCTTCCTTATTTATTTTTTTTAATTCCTCAGACACATAGTGGATCTGTGTGGCGTGTGACATGGGCCCATCCTGAATTTGGACAGGTTTTGGCCTCCTGTTCTTTTGACCGGACAGCTGCCGTATGGGAAGAAATAGTAGGAGAGTCGAACGACAAACTGCGGGGACAGAGCCACTGGGTGAGACATGTTTCACTGTGGAGGGGGCGCAGCACGAACACCCAAGGAGCATACGTCTCTCCCAGAACCTTCAGCTCCTCAGCCCCAGCCCCGCTGACCTCTGGGGAGGGAGGGGTGGAGATCAACGTAACCACCAGTTAGTTACCACTGTTGATGGCTGTGTAATGAGTTCTCCGTAAAAGCCCTCAAGGTTGGGGTTCGGAGGGCTTCTGGGTCGCTGAACACTTGGGGATGTGGGGCGCATGGTGCCTGGAGAGGGCGTGGATGCTCTGTGCCTTTCCCGGTACCTTGCCCCCTGTGTCTCTTCTGTCCGGCTGTTCCTGAGTTACAGCCAGTTGGCCAGAGGCCCAGGTAACCACCTGTGCTTGTGACTGGCGTCTGAAGAAGGCTGGTCCCGCAGGATTGAACTCTGAACTTGTGGAGTCTGATGCCATCTCCGGGTGTAGTGTGAAAATTGAGTTGAATTCTCCTTGGGCACCTTGCTGGGGTCCAAGAATTGTTTCTTGGTGTGGGGAATGCCCCTACCCTCTGCCCACCGGCATTGAAATTGTTACCAGGACCCTCTTGCTGCTTTAGGGAAATGTCTGTTCAAGTCCTTGGCCCGTTTCTTGTTGCTGGGTTGTAGGGGTCCCCTGTATATACTCTGGATAGTAATCTTTTGTCAGAGTAGATGATCTCCAAGTATTTTCTTCTATCCTGTGGATTGCCTTTTCATACTCTTAATAGTCCCCTTTGGTGCACAAAATCTTCACAAAGTCCAATTTATTTTTGTATCCTGTGTTTTTGTGTCATATTCAAGGAATCGTTGCCAAATTCAACATCATGGAGACTTTCCCCAAAGTTTCCTTACAGGAGTATTGTAGTTCTAGTTCTTATGTCTAGGTCTTTGATTCCTACGGAGTTAATTTCTGTCCACGGTGTAGGTAAGGGTCCAGCTTCATTCTTTTGCATGTCAGTGTCCGGTTTCCCTAGCACCTCCTATTGAAAAGACTGGCCTTTCCCCATTGAATGGTCTTGGGGTCCTTGTCGAAAATCAGTTGACCATATGTGAAGGGTTTATTTCTGGACTCCGCTCTACTCTGTTGGTGTATGTGTCTCTTCCTAAATGCACTGTTTTAGTTACTGTAACTTTGTAAGCTGTTCACACTGCTTTACAATTTTCGTAACGAAGGGAGGGTTGGTTTTGTCTTTGCGCTAGGCCCATCCTTAGGCCAACAGCTGTCTAAGGGCAGGGGAGTAGGGAGGTTTACAGCTGACAAGGGATTGTTTTATCAGTCAGTGTGTGATGGGTCAGTTAGCGTGCTGTAGGCTGGGTTTAGGAGTGGTGATGTATAAAGGATTTTTATTTGAATCTAGTTATTTGTATTTGGTTAAATCTACTGTCATTTACACATCTCACATTTGAACGTGTTGACACTGATTATTCAGTGGTGTTTGTAGAGTAAAGGTTGCAAAAAAGCTATCTTTGAAGTTTATATGAAACTTTTAATATTGAGACACCTTAAGATGTATTTTAGTAACCATAGATAGTAAACTGTTGATTTCTAAATTTTACTGACTTTTTCAATCAAAAATCATCTCACCTAGGTGCCAGAAAATAGATTGTACATGCTTTGTTGGGATTTTGTAATTTTCAAAATGCCAGCTTCGTACCATTCTCCTGGTTTCTGCTACATGCCTTCTCCTAAAAGTGGGCAGGAGTGGTCCACGCAGGGCCGACCAACACTTACACTTGGTGGAAGGAGTTGCATGCCCTTTGCTGTTAAGGAATCTTAATTCTTTCACATTGCTGCTTGCAGGAAAGTCAAAACTTTGTGCGTTGAAACTACCCATATAAAAATTCTAACATTTTCTAATCTACCTACCCACCTGCTTAAGAAGAGAGTGCTTACATAATTTAATAAAGCTAGACTTTCTAAGGCCTTCTTTTTTCTGCCTTAAAGGGAGTGAGTAATTAAGGTCACTGATTTGTTACTGATTGCCAGCTGTATATGTGGTACATATATATGTATATGTGCCAGGTGCTTTGGAGGAAATTGAAGCCCATGCAGGTTTTGACTGTCTTACTCAAGGTTATGTACCAAGTAAACAGCCGAGGAGTTCTGTGTGATTTCAGAGCCTGTGTTCTTCCCACTGTGCCATCCTTTTTTTTTTAAAACATAACTTACATTGTTAATTTTTTTCAGGTGAAGAGGACAACTCTAGTGGACAGTAGAACGTCCGTTACCGATGTGAAATTCGCGCCTAAGCACATGGGCCTCATGTTAGCGACCTGCTCAGCAGATGGTATTGTGAGGGTGTACGAGGCGCCAGATGTCATGAACCTCAGCCAGTGGTCCCTGCAGCACGAGATCTCATGCAAGCTGAGCTGCAGTTGTATTTCTTGGAACCCTTCAAGGTAGGCGTACACAGCAAACCTGGTGATGCAAACCTAGGAAAACGAAGGAGTAATTATTACACTAAACATTTGACAGTTTATTTTTTTGAAAACGCTTTTCTGCAGTAGTCTTGTTCATTATTTTTTAAAATGTATGTATGTAGAATAGAAATTCTCCCTTCTCTACCCCGTCATGGCTTCTGCTCCACAGAAGCAGCCGACCATCATCAATAATCTGCTTGCACCTTCTGGACTTTTCCCGTCCACACACAAGTCAATGCTGGATGCGTTTGCGCTCACACAGGAGGGCGCAGACACATAGACATGTGTGCGTTTGTGCTGACACAGGAGGGTGCAGACACAGACACGTGCGTTTGTGTGCACACAGGAGGGCGCAGACAGACACGTGTGCTGTCATAACAGGCAGCACCAGACCCAGAGGCACGTGTAGACCCACCACGGGCCTTCGGTGAACTGCCTTCTTCACTGGCAGACTCGCTGTGGGCATTCTGTGCGCTAGGGTGCCTGGTTCTTCAGCTGCTGGGTAGCGTGTGACTCTCAGGCTATACCATCGTTGATTTTTATTAAACTAGTTTTAAAAATTGGAAGAGTAATGAATCACCTAATAAAAGATTCAGATAGTCTAGCAGAGTACAAAATGAAAGGTGCAAGTTCCCTTACTTCTTAAAAACAAATGCTGTTAATAGTTCTGTGTGTAGAGTTAATTCTGGTAGTCATTATTATATTTTTAAATGATTTGCTTATACCTCTGGTTCTTGCTGTTATCTTTAAGTGGTATTTATACTTGTTGTATGGAAGATGACTTTAGCATATTTACAAAAATTCCACTTGTCCAGGTATGAGGACATATTTTATTTTTGGAAATGTTGATAGTAGGTTATATTGATAGTTATCTTAATTTCAAATGTGCATTTCTCTACTTAGTGATGTACCAATTTTTGGACTATATATTGATTCACTTCTCTTTTAAAAAGAGGGAATTAGCTTTTTTTGCTTCTACCTCATGTTTACCCTACCATTTTCTAGTATTTTGTTATATTGCTTGTATACTGGCAGGATTTACAATATTTACATTCTGTAAACTTTAATACACACGTAAGTATTTTGTCTTTTGACTACAAATTGATTCTAAAAATTAGGTGGCAATCTGGGGCAGCCCTGCACATCCCAGAGGTGGTCAGGAGGCACCTCTCTGAGAAAGACGGGTTATTGTTTCCTTCCACAAGAACTAACATCACAGTTTCTGTCCTGATACATTACTCATTGAAACACAAAAGACAAAGATCAAGATGTTTTAAGCATAAAAGAGAAAATAAAAATTCAGTCGCAGCCAGATTTATAAGGTTAGAGCATGTGCATGTTCACGCCTGTGCACGTGTCGTCTGTCTTGCGAAAATTGCCTGCTGCTGGACCTCATCTCTTCACTGAGTCCACTGCTTCTGGTTATGCTTGTCTTGAGGTCTTCTATTTTCATGTTCGGCACACACCTCTTAAAGTAACTTTTTTCCCATGGTGGGTGGATGGCAGACTTTCTGAATTCATTTTGACACTTTGATGACTTTTGATAGTCTACAGAAAGTTGTGAATTCTAATATAGCCTTACTTAGCAGTCTTTCTTTTATTGTTATAGTGCTTTTTGTGTTTTATTTGAGAAATTCTCTTCTACCTTGATGTTGTCAAGTGTATTCTGAAAGGTTTTTGGTTTTGCCTTTCACACTTAGGTCAGACCTCCTGAAATTCCTTTGTATGGTTTGAGGTAGTAAGATTCTAAAATTTAACCAGGATGTTTCCAGGTATTTTTTTTTTTAAATGTTCTTCTACTGAGGAAAATTTCAGATACACTAAAAGTGCAGCAGACAGACCCTCACATATCCATCACCCACCTACGATAACTCAGAGCTACTTCTGTTCTATCTGTATGTGCCTCCACCTTCAAAAAAAAAAACCAAAAACTGGATTATCTTGAAGTAAATCCAGAGATGTATTATTAGGGATTGGTCTTTTTTGACTCATCCTGTTTGATGCTTAGTGGGTCCATTTTAAAATGAAGGTTCTTGTCTCAAATTGGGGATATCTTATGATTCTTTGAATAATTTGCCCTTATGTTTCCAGTTCTGTCTTTCTGGAACACATCTTTAATTATTCCTGAATATACTGTCTCTATTTCCTCAACCTTGTTTGGAGGTTACTACTCTGTCTTCCAAATCTCCAACTTGTTCTCTAGATGGGGGCCATTTAAAAAAAATGTTTTCTTTTTATCGAGGTATAGTTGATTTGCAGGGTTGGGTTGGTTTCTGGTGTACAGCATAATGACTTAGTGAATCTTCGTCATATTCTTTCTCACTACATTTCTCATTATAAGCCGTTGACTGTAGTTCCCTGTGCTATGCAGCAGGACTTTGTTGTTTATCTGTTCTGTACATAGTAGTTTGTATCTCGTTTGGGGGACATTTTAAACAGCGAAGTCACCAACACAAAGCACAAAATGCAGAAAACATGGTGGTAAACAGAGTGCGCAGCAGACTCTTGTCTTCAATGTGCAGCTGAAACACGAAGGCAGAGCCTGGCCTCTGTCGACTGCAGCAGGGAGTGTGGCAGGCCACCTGCCTTTCTGCAGACTTGCTGCTCCAGGCATGTCCATGAATGAGCACGAAAGCCCGAAATATTGGGATTTTGGGTTTGCAAGTAAATTTCAGTAAGTAGGTCAGTTTACAAACACACGTTCTGCACCTGATGAGGATTGTCGGCTGTTAACCTGTTTTCTCAGAGATCAGTTTGTACTCCTTGATCTTATCTTTCATGCTCCTTGTTTTCCTTAAGTATGTGTTAGTCTTTGCTTGTGAACTTGGGTTATGAACAAGAGACTCTCATGGCCAGCAAAGGAAACTGCAGTGGGTGTGCTTCTCCAGTTAGATGCTCTGTTTTCTTAACAGCTCACCCTCTTCCCTGGGGGGTTGGCTGAGTTTTGACTGAGTAGCCTGAGTTGGGTGGCAGGATTTCCTTGTAGGACGAACAAAAGGGAGCTGGCAGCGGTGGGTACCCCCAATTGCCAGAATCAGGAGGGCCTGACTTGGGGGTAAAGCACCTCGTTGTGTTTTGTTCTTTCTCGTCCCTCTCCGGCCAGTTGTAGACTGCTTTATTGCAGGCCCTCATCTCTCCTCTTTGAAGTTCTGATCCTTACACTGGAGTCCTTCCGTAGACCTTAGCCTAGAGCAGAGTCAGCTGCCAGCCGTGAAGAGCTACTGTCTTCTGATGACAGTTCTTTAAATGATCCACTTGAGGTTGCCCCGTGGCTCATTACTGCTGATTGGTTCGTTCATTATGGACTTGTTGATTGATTAGCTGTTGGAGCTTCTAGAATTCCCTCCTTACGGATAGTGGCGTGAGCTCTGTTCCCTTAGCATTTGCTCTATCTGATCTGCTTTCTGTCTTGGTGGAATTCCTCCGGACTTGTTCGTTTCTGATGGCACATTCTGATTTCCAGCACTGCTGTGGTGCTGTTCTCACCCTCCCTGCAGAGCGTGGGAGGGAGATGCAGGTGGTCAGCCCACTGCATCCATCACAGACTTGGATGGTGCTGCTCACTGTTTAGTTGTACGTCGTATTTGGAAAATGGTTTAAATGTGAACATAGTATTTCTGGATATACAAATGAGGTAAGCCTCATGGTTTAAATGTGAACATTGTATTTCTGGATATACAAATGAGGTAAGCCTCAATTTAGTTTGTTCTGGATATTTTATACATTTTAAAAATTTTATTTTGTGAGGGGAGGTAATTAGGTTTTAATTTATTTCTCTCTCTGTCTCTTGGAGGTACTGGGGAATGAACCCAGGACCTCTTGCGTGCTAAGCATGCACTAATAGTGAGCTATACCCTGCCCCCATAATTTAAAAAAATATTTTAAAAATGATTATATTTTCAGTACTTCAGAATGTATTACTATAAATGTACTTGTCCTTGTTCAAATATTTAATATTGTAAAAAATTGTGTTTGTAAAACATTGAAAAAAATTTTGTGAAATACAGAATTCACATCCCCTTGAATGCCCAAGAATTACAATAAACACCTTGTGATTTTATTACTGCAGTAGTTTGCAGTTTACTTGGTATTTTTCTTATATTAGGTGATTGGATCTCATTATCAGAAGCTTTAGTGAAAAAGCTTTAGTAGTAAAGACCTAAACTTTTTTTTAACACATTTACCCCATTTTGTTTTCAGCTTTATGAGATTGGCAGATCGCGGTATCAAGATTAAAGGTTAAACAAAAGTGTCAGTTCGTAGAGGTGGAAGGCTAGGGAATCAGTATCTAGGTAACGAGACGTAGGAATGAAAAGAGCGATTCAGCCTCGATTCAACCTTGAGCCCACTTCGCTAGAGTTCCTTCTCTTGTTGCTTGTCGCGTGCCTTTTAGATAGTGAAGCTGAGCACAGACGGGTCTACAGGCGAGTGGTGTGGGGAGCACATCTTCCTGAGGGTGCTGTTTTCTACCTTCCCTCCTCCTTTCGGGTTCTTTTTGCACAAAGCACTTAAAAATATTTTTGCCATGAATTTGGTCACCATAAGGTTACTTTTCATTCTATAGTTAAATGACCAGATCTTTTAGGAAGAAAAATTTTAAGACCTCTTGCGGTGTCCTTTTTTTTTCCTTCAATCTATCTAATGCTTGAAACCTTTTCTTTTGGGAAAAGAGCTGCTGTCTTTCTCGGCCATAGGAAAAGGTGCAAACAAAGCAGGAGGACGGTGTGCTCAGTCCCGTGCCAGGCACTCTCAAGGACGCCCCCGAGGTGTGTGGCCCCATGTAGGGCAGGGGTCTGGTCACAGCAGTGACATGCAGGCTGGGGGTGCAGGGCTGCCTGGCGCATAACTGCTGAATTCTCTGGTGCCTGTGAGCTTACGGAAGATGTGTCTTGTCTTTGCTTCCAGCTCTCGTGCTCACCCACCCATGATAGCGGTCGGAAGTGATGACAGCAGCCCCAATGCAACGGCCAAGGCTCAGATCTTCGAGTATAATGAGAACACCAGGTTGGTGCTGCTTTGGGTTAGTTGTTGCATTTAATTTTAAAAATGTTACTTCTTTATTCATTAACTCAATTGCACATTATTCATCGTATATTTATTGGTTTCCAGTGATATGCCAAGTTCTGTGCGTGGCTCTGTTAATACAAAATTGTGATGTGGAGGAATAGATGATTGATCTCCCAGTGTGTACCGTCATGCAGGGAAGACACGAACGTGGAAAACAGTGATGGATTTTATAAACTGGGGGAGTTAGGGTGTTAAGAGATTGCACTTAGCAGAGGAGGTCAGGGAGGTTCATTCGAAAGAAGACCTGTGAGGGAGGGGCTAGTAGAGCAACAACAGAAGACTTGGAGAGTCAGTGGGAGTTAGCCAGACTTGGGGCGCACGTTCTAGGAGGGAACTGCCGGTGGCAAGGTCGGTGGACAGGAGAGCCAGTGTGTTCTCACTGTGGTGGAGCAAAACAGGCAGGAGGAGTGTGCTGGAAAATCCGAGACCTGATGCTCAGTGCTGAGTTTTTATCTTAAGGGTAACGCGAAGCCACTGAAAGACGTAAGTTGGGGGTAACAGGACCCAGTGGTGGTTTCAGCTCTTCCAGGCGTGGAAGTAGACTGGCGTAGCTTCCCGCATCATCACTTAAAGAACTCAACTTAACTTCTCTTTACACCCAAATCTTAGGAAATTCACTTACCCTTCTCTTAAGAAGATACTAATGGTTAATAAATCAAGACCTCATTTTAATTAAGTTTTTGTTAATCTGTTTTAAGCTAAACTTAAAAAGATTAAACGAAGAGATCTGGGAGGTTATGGTAGTTTCCTGGGCCCTCCGTAACAAGTTACTCCAAACTGGTGTCTTAAAGCAGACGTGTATTCTCAAGGTTCTGGAGGCCAGAAGCCCGAATGAAGGTGTCAGTGTCATCTCTTCCAGCTTCTGGAGGCTCCCGGAGCCCCGGGCTGCCTATCTTCACAGAGCTTCTCCTCTAGTGTCTCTGTTTCCCTCTCTTTCTTAATTATATCTGCAGAGGTCCCTTTTCCAAATTAGGTCACGTTCGCAGTTCCTGGGCTTAGGCCTTGGACATAATACACACTGCAGAGGTAAACACTACTTCATTGTGAACGAGATGGCGAACACTGAGATACCTACACATGTGGATTTAAAATTTGTTCATTTCTGAAAATTTTATTGTAAATTGTTTTTTTTCACTAGGAAATATGCAAAAGCTGAAACCCTTATGACGGTCACAGACCCTGTGCATGACATTGCATTTGCTCCAAACTTGGGACGGTCTTTCCACATTCTCGCCATAGCAACCAAAGACGTGAGGATTTTTACGTTAAAGCCTGTGAGGTGAGTCTTTGAAACAATGACTAATTTGAAAGTTCTCTTAACTCTTCATTCTTTTCATTTGTGAAAGGAGAGTGTAGAGGCAACTCTGGTCTGAAGACTGGATTCTTTCATGAGCGTTTTATCTATCGATACGTGACTTGGGATGGGGAATTGAGTGAAGAGAGGAGATTTGTGTGTTCTTACTTGTGTTGTATTTAGGCAGATACTAACAATGAATGGCTCCCCTGAATAAAATTGGTTCTCTGTAAATGTTTGAGGGACGGAGAGGTGGCAGTCTTCTTGGGGAGAATTGAATGAGCGCTGACACGTTTTTGTCAATAACTCATCTGGCTTTGAGTTTGGGATTGTGAGTTTCACTTCTTTTTCTTTCCCTTTTTCCTTCTTTATTTCCCCCTCTTCCTCCTCCTTCCTACTGCTTTCTTTTAAAAATTAATCATCATCTGTTTTATTGCTCATCTTTATTTATTCGTCATTCTTGGGAAATAAAATCATCTTAGTCTCCAAGTATCTCTTATGTGGTGGGGTCGTGCCAGGTACTGGGGAGTCAGATGCACATGGCAGGGCCCAGCTCACAGTAAGCTGAGGGGAGGGGTGGGTGGGCTGTCATATGCATATGGATAAGGGGTGTATGTGAGACGGTTTTTTTTTTTTTGAACGTTTGTGTTTGTGTGTATAAATGTTAATGGAATTCCTCAGGAAAATTTTTTTATTAGCAGGAAAGAACTTACATCCTCTGGTGGGCCGACAAAATTTGAAATCCATATAGTGGCTCAGTTTGATAATCATAATTCTCAGGTCTGGCGAGTGAGTTGGAATATAACAGGAACAGTGCTGGCGTCCTCAGGAGATGACGGCTGTGTGAGACTGTGGAAAGGTACGATTTCAGTGAAGAGCTTGTTGCTTTAAGTTGCTACTTTTAGAATTTCCACCTAGAAATGTAAACTCTGAAATATTTTGAAAAAAGTCCCATCTTTCTACAGTTACTTTTAAACTAATGTCATACATTAATGTATAGTTTTGAATCTTTATCAGTTTATTGGTTCATGGAAGTTACTGCCTAAATGAATTAAGTTTCCATATGGAACGAAAAACTAGTTGTAACAGAATGTACAGGGTCTCTGGTAGATGCCGTGTGCTGTGTGTGGCCTTCAGGACTTGGACTACAGGCATCTCTTGCTTGATCAAGCAGTTGCTTTAGCCCAGCAGCCCTTAACGAGAAAATCCAGCGTTGTCCCCACTTCTCTACAGCTCCCCAAAGTTGAAGAGTCCTGAGGCCACTGATTCCCCACTTCTCTACAGCTCCCCAAAGTTGAAGAGTCCTGAGGCCACTGATTCTCAAAGTTCCTCACAAATGCCAGACGGGGAGTGCACGTAGTCTGGACGATTGATCCTGACTGGGTGCGGTAGCGTGGTCTGCACTTTTCCTCGGATGCTTATCCACTGGGCAGAGGTGCCCGTGGTCTGGGCCCCACTCTAGTTGGTGACATCCCCAGCCCATACTTAGGATCCTGAGTTAAGTGGACCCTGAGGAGTTAGTTTCCCAAAAGGCAGTTTGGCTGAGTCTCCCATGGTCAGCCAGCTTTAGGCTGTGGTAGAACAGCCCAGACCTCCCTTTCCCCTTTGCTGCCCTGCCCTACCCCCGGCCTTCAGTCAAGACAGTCCTGCTCAGGCTCCCTGACCTGGGTCTCCTGGCCTCAGTGTCTGCAGTGACCAGTTTTGCATCCAAACAGTTAGGCCAAGTTGGATAAACCATGCCAGAGGTTCTGTTATCTGCATCCATTAGGACCTTAGGTACCCTCAGGACTTAAACTTTCTTAACCAAGAAGGTGACTGCATTACCCACATAGGGTAATTGGAACTCATTATAGTGAAGACATAGAATTTGATACTAACTTAAATGGAATAATGTGGTAGCTTAGAGATGTGCCTGTTAATTATCTTGTAAGGAGCTTTGTTTTTAAAATTAATGATTCTTTTAAAACTTGGAAGAATAACTGTTAAAGTTGAGACATGTGTTTTATGTTTAAAGTGTCTTCACCATTTACTCTGAGACGTGTAGCCCGCAAGTCTCTCTTACCTCTTTAATTGTGGTTTGAGTACAGAACACAGATTTGTGCCCTGGAGCGTAGGTGTTCGCCATGTTAACGTGCTTGACTGTTTTCCTTTCAGCTAATTACATGGACAATTGGAAGTGTACTGGGATCCTCAAAGGTAACGGGAGCCCAGTCAGTGGGAGTTCTCAGCAGGGAAGCTCAAATCCTCCCCTAGGGTCCAATGTCCCAAATCTTCAAAATTCATTAAATGGATCTTCTGCTGGCAGGTAGGCTGTTCAATGAGAAAACTAGAAATTGTCTTTTTAAAATCATTTTGGTAACCTTAGTAAAGGTGTGTTATTTCCTGGATTTTGAGATTGAATGAAGGAATTCACATTTAATTATGACAGCAGAAGAAAAGCACTTTGGTAGCTCTGTATTTAGCTTGCTTGGTCGTAATGTTTACAGGGAGATTCTGAGGCCATTAAACAAACTAAATTATATTCTGGAATTTAGCTGTCTATCAGAAATGTGTGTGACTAAGATTTTACGTTGCTTCTGAGTAGTGAGATGAAGGGAGGACGTGGGCAATACTGGGATTTTGGTCCCAGATGAGCATGAGTGTTGCTGGTGCTGGTAGTCAGGTTAAACTGGAACTTTAAGTAAAATGCGCTCATTAAGGCTTTGTGGAAGAGAGTGAGTTAAATGTTTTATGTATGTTTAAAACTTTCATGGAGATTATAAGAGGAAATGGTAATTCTCAGTTCTTGACTTTTAGAATTCTGAGCATATTTTTAGATTCTCCATAGGCAACATTTGATGTCATCTGAAGAATCATCCTTTTGTTTTTATATTCAGATTTCAAATGTGAATTTGTAAGATAAAATTATTCTAATACGCCTCTGTGAATACTTCGGAACACTATTCAGGAAGCCTCAAAACATAGCCCTAACAGACTGCTGTGGTCATCTTAGATAAGAGGAGAGAATTGTGTCTAACAGCCCCTCAGCTGCTTTTACATGGTTGTATGCTCATAAAGAGGTCCTGCATTTTGATTTTGACGTTTAAGCGTTTGCCTGACGACAGTTTCAGGCTGCCATAGAAGACACCAGATCATAAAGACTGTTTTGTGAAGCAAAGGAGACTAGTGTTAATTTTTTTTTTTAATCTGGTTTTTGGTTGCGGCCTGTACCGCAGATTTTCTTTTGTAAAGAGCGTTGAGGTTTTGGTCTGTGTTCTTATTGTGCCAGTAACCGTGTGTGTTAGATGTGTGATGCATTTTCCCTTCTCCGTTTGTATTATGTCCTTTAACAGAAAGCACAGCTGAGTCCCAGCTAACTGGAGTAACTTGCTGTTTTGCTGCTTGTTGCATGCACACAGGAATGGGACGCGAGCTCCTTTCCCCCTTCCCCAGCGCCGTTTGACCTCTCCCAAGATACACCAGCAGCCTGCTTCCTACTAAACGCAATCCAAAAGGCCTTTAAAAATACAGTGTACATCTTTTTTGTTTTTTTGGACTAGCCCGTTTATTGACACTATTTGAAATTTTCAGATTATAAACAGAGAGGCTTTTTGTTGAGACATTGTCACCAAAACAATTTTTTGAAATGTTTCTGAAACTAACGTGGGTTTTAAAATGAAAGGATGTTACTGCCATCTTTATTAGTCGTTGGGAGGAGGGAAGATACCACTTTATTCCACCTGAAAAATATATTCAGGCTTCTGTCTTTTATTGTCTAAAACAAGCTAAAATGAATTTCTATAATTTTAATTTGAAGATTGAATAAATATTTTTCATAAAGATTGTTTTGAGTGCTAATTTGTTCACCTTTTGTAGAATTGGTTTATACATGATATTATTCAGTACAACTCTGTTATTTGTAATATTTCAAAAATATTAGTGAAGGAGTGAGAGAAGTAGTAGTGGAATGAAAAGTAACTTGACTGTACAGTTTGTAGCCAAACTAAACATTTGGTATAGCTCCTGATAGTTTGGTAGTAAAGTGAAAGCACCTTTGTAAGTTTTCAATTCACATTCGCTAGCGAGAAATGTTTCTAATATGTGCTTTTGTATATTTTTATGGCTTGATTTTTCCTTCAAGTCAAAGTTTGGAAACACACTACAAGAATCCGTTCAAATTCTGCTAAAATTGTGTGTGCACATTAACCTCCACATTCTGTGTCCCAGGGTTTTCTTAATTTTGTTGGTGCTTAATTTAGTTTGCATCATCTGATGTCAGAGCTATAAATGGTGGCGAAAATGCTTAAGTGTTAAGGGTAAGTTATAAAATGGTAGAAGAGTAACCATAGAACATATTTTTTGAGACCTTTTACTTATCAAAATTTTGTATTCTAAGGTTTTTGCAGAAAAACAGCTAAGTATATTCAGAGATTGTGTTTCTTTGCGAGTACCTTGCAGTGGCTGGCTGTACCATGTGCAAGTGCGCCTGAGTTGGTTCTCGGTGTCTGGTGAGCACTGAGAAACGTGTGCTGAGGCTACAGATGATGCGTTGCTTAAGGGGAAAGCTTATTTGGTTTGTAAATTACAGAAGAGTGTCAGATATGTTTCTGAGAGATAAGAGTTTAAATTATAAAATTAATGTCTTTTGTAACATTCATACTGATATTTTTTTTTAACATTTTAAGTTTAACAGATTATATTTCTTTTTTCAAGTTTCTATACTTGCTTAAGCAAGCCTGATTTGAGTAAGGGTCTTGATTTTGCTGTTATGTTCTGTTAGTTTTGGCATGAATATACTAAAGGTTTTTTTTCTAGCATGTGTTTTTTCCTCTTTGGTTCTCTTTGTATTTACTACTTTTCTCTTTTTCTTCTGTTTTTTCTTTTCTTTTTTCCCTGTTGTTTTGTTTTGGTGTTTTGTTCCTGTCTTCATTGTTTCAGGTATTTCTTTCCCCCTCTGGATTCCCCACGGGCTGGATCAAGATGGTCCAGTTATGCCCAGCTCCTTCCTCCTCCTCCTCCTCCTCTGGTAGAGCACTCTTGCGATGCTGACACTGCCAACCTCCAGTATCCTCACCCTCGCAGACGGTCTCTCTCTCGGCCTCTTAATCCCTTACCTGAGAATGAAGGGGTTTAAAAAACACTGATTTAACACTTAAAGGCCTTATTCAAGTGCTTGTAAATGCTTTCATTCCTGGCTTTTTGTTTTTCTTCATTTTCTTTCAGAAGATTTTTCTAACTTAGGGTTTGTCTTGCATGTATTACAACCAGAACATGGTGTTTGGAACCTAAATGTGCTTGTGCTTCTGCATCAAAGGAATCTTTGCTTTGTTGGTTGATAACCTTTGATGAAATGAGACGTGTGCACACAACGTTAGCTGTGAAAGTTACACACAGTGCTGACTTCAGAGTGCCTGTTCTGTACATTTTATTTTGAACTGTTCTGGTGTAAGTTTCTTATGGTTTGTCACACTGGTTAATGTGAAGCCTTATCATAAAGTTCACTTTGTCTTTGAGACATAAGAAAAAATTTTTTCAATTTTACAGGCTAATGTTGCAAATGAATAGTTTGTAAAATAAATCATTCCTGTGTATAAAGCAGCAAAGCATAATACGGACTGTTTGGTCTTTTTCTTTCTTTTTTTTTTTTTTAACTTTTTTTTTGAAGGAAACTACCTTTCACTACTTGGAATTACTGTATAAACAAGCTTTTGTAATTATTCTCCAGGTAGATTATTTAATAAAATATATTTTTAAACATATGAATCTGTTGCCTTATAAAAATCAGAATGTATTTTCTATTTGACAGTTGGTAAAGCTTATAGCTCCTTAAAATGTCATGTTGCTTAAAAAAAACCTAGTCAAAAATTAAGGGATGAGCACGGCATTTATTTAGAAGGCAGACAGGTAACAAATGTCGACTTTCAATCTGATGCACATTAGATTATTTTCTAAAATGATAACTTTGCAATTTGAAATCAGAATATACTTGACAATAATTACAATAAAATGATGGAAACTATGGGACTAGTAATATTTTTAGTTCTTGGTTCAGTTTTCTTAGGAGCTGTCCTGGATTTAACTTCCCTCAGGGCTAGAGAAAGATGTAATTTGAACAACATTTCATATTTGTCTATCAGCTAATCACACACAAACAATATAGTTGTTATAAATATATATTATAACTTAGAATCTAATTTTCAAAGACACTCCTATGAATAGTGTCATACCTCTGGAGCTTCTTAACATGCAAAGAATAGAATTTATAAGATATATTGTATTAATTTTAATTCAAGGAACATCTGAGTTTTGTTGTGTCTAATAATTAATATGTTCTGTATGTAAAGTTAGCATTTTAACATTCCAAAGTAAGAAAAAAGTCCTTTCCAAATAATTCTTAAAGATCTTCCTTTTGTTAAAGATTTGTTTTGGACTTGTGTATCTGTCTAGTTTCAAAGCAAGAGGTAGAACATTAAGTCTGGATCCAGCTCAGAGTTAAGAATTCACATATTTGAGATTTCAGTCATTATAGAGGTACCTAGGGGTAAGATGAGGTAATGAACTGAGACAGACTCTCACTCCAAGTTAGCGAATATTGGGCATCTTCTGTGTGCAAGTTACTGTGCTGAACACTTTGGGATATGTAAAAAAATAGGTAGTCTGCACACATTTATTCTAGTGAGAGGAGGCATGTACACAATTTACAAAGGGTAATGAGGATTCTGCTTCATAATAGAGGTTGAACTGTACAGTACGTATTAAAGTGATTTATTTGAACTGGTGGCATTTAGAAGGGGTGTGGAATTTGGAGTAGTGAAAACAGTGGAGGGTAGGAGTTCTGGGGTGATGGTCCAGATGTAGACGAGGACGGGTGTGTTCAGGCAAGAGGCTGCCAGTGTTAGTCTGATGAAAGAATAAGGTTCACTGGGGAGCTAGTGTGAGGTTAATCTGGAATCTTACCTTGTGGTCACACTGCAGAAGGTATTGAGTGGTTGAGGTATTACCACTTAAAGCATCTGGTAAAGGGCAGCTGTGGGAGATGTGTGCCTTCTCCTAACTGGATGAGCATCACTTGTAACTCCTTGGACCATGGGGCTTCTGCAGGCTCTCCTTGGAGTTGGAGATTCGGAGCACACTGGCAGTTCTGTTCTCCTTTCCAGTTGGCAAGGTTAGAGAGCAGCAAACATTGTTGAGCACTTCCTCGTGCCCATGCTCTTCTAACCTTCTGGCAGGTAACCGACTTAACCCTCACAACACAGTGCTTGGGTTATCCCCATTTTCCAGATGAAGAGACTGATAGGGTAAAGCTGTCTGCCTGAGGCTGCACAGCTAGGAAGTGGAAGTCAGCACTGGGATTCAGGCAGTCTGGCATCAGAGTCTGGCTCTTTTCTGCAGGTACCTTGCCTTATAGACTCCTGTCACACTGCCAGGTGTGGGGAGAGCTTGGGTCATGTGGTTTTTATGAAGGAAGGACAGTGAGTTGGGTACAAGGGATACAGGATGAATGACAGGAACATATGGACACATTGCAAAAGTTCAACTCCGGTGTGGCTGTGGTGTAGAGAGAGGTCATTACATTCATATAGTGTCCTTTCAGCTCTAAAGCTAATTATTTGGTTTATTTTTCAAGATTCAGAAAGTCTTGAGATTTTCCCTACCCAGTCTTTGTTCATTGAGTGTGGACAGAGGTAGAATAGGGCTAGTTAGATGCCGAGGCTGGAAGGTTTCAAGAAAAGAGGTCAAGAGCACTGCAGAGAGATCACCGAGTTTGGCAGGAGGCCAGTCCCAATAAATTGAAACGAGTGTGGAAGTAGTGCTCAGGACGCAGCCGAAGCATGGAGTGGCTGCAGGTTGTGAGGGAGCGATTAAGGTAGGAGAGAGAGGCAGCATGGGCTTTGTGTGGTTAAACGGAATCAAGACCGGTGAGGTTTTGGTTTTGGTTCTGTTTTTGGTTTTTTGGTGTTTTTTTTTTTTTTAATGGAGAGATGCAGCATTTCCAAAGGCAGAAAGAAATCAGTGAATAGAGTGTTCAGGGATGATAGCTGAGCAGGGTTTTAAAGGAGATAGAAAGTTAAGTGGTAAATAGACGTCTTTCCCCACCAGGCTAAAATTAGGAGGTAGGGACGTCAAAGTCAACGTTCTTTTTCCTGTCCTCTCTGCCCAGTGTGCCATCCGTCTTAAACATTAAGTAACTGTTGAATGAGTGAAGTTAAGGAGTTAACTTTGGGAAAGGCGAACTGTTTATCCCGCTGAGGCTGTACGGAAGAAATTCTGTGACAAAGGAAAGCGGAAGGCGTGGTTTAAGTACAGCAGTGGTTAGGGCCTTGTGCTGAGCAGGTGCTGGGATGGGATTCTCGGCCCAAGGAGACGGGAAACGCAGGAAGGCAGTTAGGGACGGGGCTCATCCCCCAACCCTCTCCGCGGCGCGGCCCCGCTGAGTGACGGCCTAACTGCAGAGCACACGGGTCAGCGTCTGCTGCTGTAGGACAGAGAGCTGGCAGCCCCGACCTTCGGGGTGTGTCGGGTGACTCGTCCCCCCAGCAGTGCTCCGTGCGCCAGGCGAGGCCGGTGCCCTCGGGCCCCCGAGTTTGGGAGGCGTGGCGCCCTCAAGTGGGTGAGGCTCTGGGCGCAGCGCTGCCGGGCGGAGCGCGGCTTCCCGCTTCAAATCCGGGACGCCCGCCCTCGCCCAATCAGCGGGCTCGTCCTTTCGCGCCGTCCAACCCTAAGTCGGCTCGGAGTCCCCGCCTCTCGGCCTGTGCCGTGAACCGACGTAAACCTGAGCGGCGCGCTGTACGGCCGGACCCGGCGGACGCCGCGGGTGAGTGCGCGCACGCGCACTGTCTGTGCCGCCGGACGCAGGACGCTCTTCGCTC